CATTAGTACCAGTTAGAATTTTAATTATATAATTCTTATTTATCTAACTAATGCTAAAGAAATTAAATTGTGTAAATAGATATTCAAGTACTTCAATTCAAATATTAGTTTACTAAAGATTATTTTAATATACAAAATTATTATTATGATTTTCTTCTGAACAAAACAAGTCAAACAAAAAACTTTCATTCGAATAATTTTGATTATTCGAAAGCACAAGAATTTTGTAATAAATATGCTTCTTTGTTTGATTTATTACTTTTATTTTATTCAAAATTTATTACAAACAAGTATTAGTTGGAAACATTGTTTTGAATTTCTGTTGAGACAAAGAATTTTTTACAACCTGTTGCTCTTACTAATTCTGTTAAACCACTATTAGAAATTCTTTTAGAAGAAGATGAAGATGATCAATATAATTAAGTTGTATGACTAATACTATAAGGATTTAAAGGAATTAGAAAAACAACATTTCAAATTGAAGAGTTTTCCATGTGCTGTTGCTCAAAAATTTCATGATACTTACAAATGTTTATTTAACTAATTTCTATCATATTCTTTTTACAATTTTACTAAGATTGATTCTAAAATGAAAATTAATAATTTGTTTACAATTGCCTATCTTGTTAATTTTAAAGTTAAATAAATTTATTTACTTAGTTTTAAAACCTAGTAGATTTTTTTCTACACAATCCCAAAAGATAGAATTACTTTATACATTACTTCAAAGTTTAAACACCAATAAACTTATTAATATTGCAATTGACAGATATGCAGCAGTTGTAAAAACATCAGTTGGAGAAGCAATTGTGAATCAATATAATTATCAGTTTATTGATTCTAGGTTATTTTATTGATATGTTGGTCATTATCATAATGATTACTCAATTGACCAAATCAAGCAAATCTTTAATGAAGAACAGGTATTAGAACTGATTAATTCTATCAAACATCTTGATAAAGAACAATATCGAGAATCAGGAATTAAAGCAGCTCAGATATTAACAAATGACAAATTATATGATATCATAAATAAAACAATTAGAAAAATAGTCAAGAATAAAGAATTTGTTGTAGTTGAATATGATATTACCACACTCTGTTTACCTGATGCTAAAGTAAAAATAATTTTATCAGCAGATGTGGAAACTCATGTAGCTTGACATTCTTATCAAACAAATTCAAAAGATTATACTAATATTTTCAACAATATTTTAGAACAAGATGTATTATCTCAACCATTAATTAAACAAGCATATAATGTCTTATATAAGATTGATACAACCAAATTAATATTATCTGAAGTTGTTAATATGATTTTAATTCAAGTTTTTAAAAAGATACTTGGTATAACATATCAACATTATTATAGAATAATCATCATTATTTTAGTTTTATTCATATTAAATTATTTTAATTTTTAATATTTTTAATCTTTTATTATTTAATTTTATTTATTAAATAAATTTATCTAGTTAGTCTATAACCAACTAGATTTTTTTTTACATAATTTAAAACATTTATTAACAATGTCTCAACAGTTATCTCTCCAACCCAAACAAGAATTACCAAAAGCTTATAAAGCTAATTTGATTTTTAATAAAAATCAAGATCTTAGTGAACATGTGTTTAAAACTTGCTTGGACAAAATTTGTAAAGATGATCCAAGAAAAAAATCAATCTTTTTGATAAAACTTAAAGAATTTTATCAACTTAGATGTGATATGATGATTGAGATAGAATTTAATTGTAATTTAGTTCATGACAAAGAAGATTCAAATTATGAAAAAGCCAAGAATTGTAAAGAAAAGATTTTACATAGTCCTAAATATGGAGCATAACAAGAACATGATTTTGTAATTGATGCATATTTTAAGCATCTATCAGAGCTTGAATCAAGAGGTAAAGTGAATAAAAAAAGATGAGTTACTACTGATAATAAAGAAGAAAGTAAAGAAGAAGAAGTAGAAAATAAGAAAAAGAGACATGTTTCTAAAAAGCAAAAGGATTAATTTCATTTATTTTATTTAATTTATAATTATCAAATATTATTATCAAATAAATGGTTCTATTCAGTAATTACTGAATAGATTTTTAAAAAAGTAAAATTGCTCTAACATGTAATTATCATATTGAAAAAATAATATATGATGGTATTGAAATATTAGTTAGATGTAGTGCTTGAATTCATAATTTAGTATGTCCAAATTATAATATATCATATCGAAAACTAAAGCCAAAACTAAAATCAAAACCAAAAATTAACAAATATTTTTGTGAAAAATGCAACTATTTTCATTTACGAAAACAATGTAATAGTTGCAAAAACAAGATTGTTCTAGAATTTTTATATTATTGTGAGAAATGCACTAATTTCTATTCAAATAAAGAATGCACTAAATGTAAAAATTAATTAATAGAACCTAAGGATTTCGATTCAGAATCTTTTTCACAAAAGTCTCAAGTTTCATTTTGTTTTATTAATATAGGATCTCCTATAGTATAGGTGGGCATATATAAATTATTACAAATTATAATATATAAAACCTATCTAATTTAGGCCAATTTATATTATAACCCTAATCCTGACTCTAACTATTTGTAAATATACTTAAATTGATTAAAAATAATTAATTTATATATATATAATTATATAATAATCATATTTGCTCACCTATACTAAAGATCAACCTTAATACATATTATAAAACTGACGCAGATGATTTTATAGAGCATGACAAGTTTACTTATATAAAAAATCAAAATGGTATTGTTCTAAATGACAAATTATATTTTAGTGATAGCAAACTTAAGATGGATGTTTCTTCAAGTTCCAAATGTAATTTTCTTTAATTAGTTTTATAACCGATTAAATTTTTCTGTATAATTCTCTTTATTAAACATCTTAACAATGTCTAAAAAATACAACACTACAAAGAGTCAATATTCAACTTCTCAATTATTCTTTTCATCATGTCTATCTTGGCTCAATTCTGTTGCAAGCATGTATAGTAATAGTATTTCTATTAACAAGGACCAGATTAATAATAAGATTAAAGTTAAACTCACAGAACAAACTAATTTGATGCAAATAAACAAGAAAATTATTGATCAATATGAAGGAGAATGTCAATACTATGCATTATGTTTGATAGTAAATTCTGAAAAGAAAATTTGGATGAGTTATAGAAATAATCCTAATAAAGATTATTATACATATTATTAAGTAGCAGAAGGTGGTTTAGAACTATATAAATTATTCATTGATTGTATCAAGTAAGAAGTATTTGAAAAGACCAAATTAGATTTGAAAGATTTTCATTTTATTACATATGATGAAGGATTTTGTATATTTTCTGACTGCTCAGATTCTGAAAACATGTTCAAAACTGTGATCTATTTAACTATTACTGATGAAATTCTACAACTAACAGAACCTGACAAGAATTCTGCATAGGAGGCATATACTATCAATGAGTTTAAAAATCTCAAAGTTACTGATTCTTTGAAACTCAAATAATTAGTAATAATTAAAGCTATCAATTCAAAATTCAGAAATTATAGAAAACGTAAAAGTGAGATTAATCATAAATCTTAAAAACAAGTTAAAATAGATCTCGAAGAACTTAATGAACCTGAATCTACTATATTATCTTCATCTTCATCTTAATACAGTCAACCCCCTCTAAATGCATACCGTCGGGACCGACGCCAAGATATGCATTTAGGGAGGGTTGCATTTAAAGAATAACCAATAACATT